GTGATATTCTTAAAGTATGTTCATATTGATAACAAATTGTAGCAAAAGCCCAGGGTTTGTAAGAAATATAGAAACATTTTACTTGTAATTTTCTCTTTATCTCTAGCTCTTCTCTGTGCTGATAAGTACCTGACCTGACATTCAATAAATGTTCCAATGTGAATTTTGAATATTCTTAAATACATTTAACATTATATTTTTTTGCATTATCTTTAAAAATTTTTTTCTTTGTTTTAGAGACACGGTCTCACTCTGTCACCCAGGCTGTTGTGCAGTGGTGTGATCATAGCTCACTGCAGCTTCCAACTCCTGTGCTGGAACAATCCTCCTACCTCATGAGGCCTTTGTCCTCAGGGACTATAGGAGCACACCACCATGCCTGGCTAATATTTTTTTTATTTTTTGTAGAGACAGGGTCTCCCTATATTGCCCAGGCTGGTCTTGAACTCCTGGCCTCAAGCGATCTTCCTGCCTAGGCCTCCCAGAGTGCTGGGATTACAGGCCCAGCCTGCACTGTATTACTTTTTAAAAGAATCTTTCTTTCTACTGTCACAACAATTGCCCAACACTGTGTCATCCTTATTTTGAAGGGTCTGGGCGTCAGTATATGATTTCTGGTTAAGTTTTGTACAGTCAGTTGCATACTTAATTACGTTTTTCGAAAGAATCATCTTTCCACACTTCAAGAGACAGATTTCTGCACCTTGAATAAAGAGCTGTGCATACAATTTACAGGTGTGTGTGCTAATTATTACCCAGAAAATGGTGGCAGCTGTGATTAAAAGTGTTTAGGTCAGAGTACTAGACTATTGATGGACTCTAGGCTTATTTCAGCCACTGATTTGCTACGTGATCTTACATAAGCAACCAAAATATTTCTGGGCTCAGCTTTCTCATCAACCAATGAAGAGATTACATTCTATGTGAATTTTTCTATCTTCATTTGCAGCACATAAACTGATGTAAACAAGGTTAACAGATTTCTTGGTTATTACATTTAAAAATAACTAAAGGTTTCAGAAATAAATGTCCTTTTTGGTAAAGTACTTACTACAATCTTAAAGTAATCACTTGGGATAACCATATCCCCATTCTTGACCCACTTCACAGTTGGAGTTGGTTTCCCAGTCACTTCGCATTCGAACACAATATCCATAGATTCATGAGCATATATATTAGTAGGTTGCTTCAGGAATTCAGGTTGAGCTTTAAAATAGAAAGGCAATTCAGATATTAACAAAAATAAAAATAGGTAGCTATTCATATTTCAATGAATTATTTTAAATCACAGGATTTTTTATTAAAGGCATTCACATATTTTTGCAAAAGCATAAATCAAATATATATTAAAAATACATGCTATGAATACAATATCTTTAAAAACTGATTTTTCTGGTATAATTAACTGTTAAAAATTATCTGACTTTTCCCAGCTCCTTGTTGAGAACTATTTACTAAGTTGACTATACTGAAGAGCTTAAAATTAAGAGTATTACAAGCTGTCTAAAAATAAATATTAAAAACTATTTCCTTAAGATTTATACCATTTTGGAAGGGCCATAATTAAAATTCAAAGAGTTGAAAAGACTGACACAATCCTCCTTTTCAGTCAGTTTGATAACTATATGTGTGTGTGTGTGTGTGTTTGTGTGTGTGTGTGTGTGTATGAAGCAATGTCGCATTAGAGACCTTAAATAGTTCACTCATGCAACACACTCTCATTAGTAACATCGCTCATTACACGAAATGGTTTTAAAGGAAGGGAGGAAGAGCGACAGGATCTTTGGAGGAAAAGATATTTGAAAAAGCATGAATAATCCAGTATCTCCTTTTCCCCTTGCCCTAAAAGTTGTAAACCACTGATTTATAAATAACAGATTCATAACGTGTTTAATTATAAGGTCTGAAGTAGATCATCTAGTCTAACTTCCTACCTAATGCTGTAATTTCCTATACAACATCTTTGACAAAGGGTCTTAATGATCTATTAGAAAATTTCAAATGACAGGAACCCCCTATATCACAAAGCAGCAAGCTCCACTGTAGGCTAGTTCTATTAAATAACAACAATGACAAGAGTAGCAGCTTTATTTACAGCTGAGCTAAAATCTGCCCAGCCTGCTGGGATTTTGATTGGGATTGTGTTGAATTTGTGTCAACTTGACATCTTAATATTAAGTCTTCTTTTCCATGACCATGGGTTTATGTCTCCAATTATTTAGATCTTTGATTTCTTTCATCAATGTTTCATAGATTTCTGTGTACAAATCTTCATACTTTGTTACATATATCCCTTGGTATTTCAAATACTTTTGGTGCTGTTCTAAGTGGTACTTTAAAAATATTTTAAATTTCTAATTGTTCGCTGCTAATATGTAGAGATGAAATTGATTTATGTATATTGACTTTTCATCCTGAGGCCATGCTAAATTCACTCATTATTAATAGTTCTATTAGCTTCTATATAGACAATTTGAAGATTATCTACATAGACAATCATGTTGTCTGTGAATAAAGACAGTTTTATTTGTTCTTTTCCTTTTTAAAAAAAATTTTCTTGCCTATTGCACTGGCTACAGAGGGGCAGGTCCTGGAAAGAAGTCCAAAAGCTATGTAACTTAGGTAAATGAAGAACAAGAGTACAGAGAGCAGGCAGAACCCCAGGCAAACAGAAACTCCCTCAAGGAGGGAAAGAATGTATAATCTTAAGAAGCTATATACATTCACAGCGATGGAAGATCAGAAAACAAATCTGCACAATAAGATGTAATCAGGGAAATCCATTAATAGTGAATTTGACTACCCTTTCAAACATTGACTAGCCATTTGTATTTAATACTTTGTGAATTATCAATACAAGTGCTCTGTCATTTTTCCAATAATGTTCACAATTTTCTTATCTATATATAAGAGCTTTTAACATGAGTTATCAATGTATGGCCTCTCAGTCCCAAATCCACCCTTCTTTGCAATAACGAATCTGGACCTTTGTAAGCTGGTGCTTTGTTAACAGAAGGCACTGGAGGAACACTGCATGGCATGGCACAGCGAAAGGCTAATCTTTCAGGCTGAGGAGTGCCCTTCTTCTTGCACCTACGGTGTGGCTGCTAGGTTTACGGGAGACCCAATGATGATCACCCTCCTGCAAGTTTCTCTATTCAATCCTAAAGATCGAGTTTCTCCAGCTTACTCCAGTAGGTGGCTTCTGTGCACCAGCTCTGACCATAGCATCCCACTGGTCATGGTCCTGCACACCAGCTGTGACTCCTGTCACTCCAGTGGGCAACTTTCTGCTCACCATCCGTCAGGCCCACAGCACCCACTCCAGCAGGTGCTTTCCACATCCCAGCTCAGGACTATGGCATCCCAGCAGGGGATACTTTCTCCAACAAGGTCTGAGCAACAGTCTTCCTTTTTCGGATTCTCTCACTTGAGAGGTAATAGTAGCGGATCCTTATATTTACTATTTCTGTATTCCTTAGAGTTCTACTTTATCCCTTTTAGTATTAGGTTATTAATACCGAAATGTCCAATTTTCTTAAGTACTAAGTTTGACAGTTGATCTCTGACATTTCACTTTAACACTTCTTGGTTTATTTTTATTGTCAAGCTACATCCTTAGTCTTTCAAATGCACATTTTGGCTTGTGATTAGCTTTCAAATTTTTTTAAAGCAATTTTTGTGACACCATGGATAAATCAAAATTCATGTTATCTTCGAGTATGAGTTCCGTCGTGGAACCAATGCAGCACAGACAGCTTGAAATATCAACGAAGTGTTTGGGAAGGATATGGCTAATGAACGCACAGTATGTTGATGGTTTGAGAAGTTCCATTCTGGTGATCGTAATCTTGAAAATGAGCCATGTGGGTAACCTGAGACCAAGGTGGATAATGATGAGCTGAAAGCTGCAGGGGAGGCAAATCCATCTCAACCTACACATGAATTAGCAGGTTTGACATTACTGTTCCAATAATATTGGCCCATATGAAACAAATCAGCAAGGTAAAGAAGCTGGATAGATGGGTTCCACAAGTATCAGCAGAGAATTAAACAAGTATCAGCAGAGAAATCATCTCAAAGCTTGCCTTTCTTTGCTGTCATGACATAAAGGTGACCCACTTCTACACCGTATTGTTACATGTGATGAAAAATGGATTCTTTTCGACAATCACATGCGTTTGGCATAATGGTTGGATAAAGATGAAGTGCTGAAACACAGTCCTACACCGAATATTCATCAAAAAAAAGTTAATGGTGTCTGTTTGGTGGTCCGGTGCTGATATTATCCACTATAGCTTCATGAAACCTGGTCAGTTGATTCCAACGGATGTCTACTGCAACCAATTGGGTGAAATGCTGAGGATGCTTGCGATTAAGCAGCCGAGACTGCTCAATAGAGACCAGCCAATCCTTTTGCAAGACAACACCTGAACCACATGTTGCAAAAACAACACTGCTCAAACCACAGCAGCAAAACTTGGAAACTCTCTGTAATCCACCGTATCCACCAGACCTTGAACCAACTGACTACCACTTCTTCCAGGCTTTGGACCACTTGTTGCAAGGAAAAATATTCAATTCTCAACAAGCTGTGGAAAACACCTTTTGTGATTTCATCGCCACTTGCTGTCCAGGCTTCTTCACTGCTGGCATAAGCAAGCTACTGTTAAGATGGGAAAATTGTGCCAATGATTTAGGCATACACTTTGATTAATTGTACTGCTTCTTGTTTGAGATATAACAAACTAAACTTTGGGTATGAAATTGGGCATTTTGTATGTAATGACCTATAATAGTTTACTATATTAGTCAGGATCCAGGAACCATACCAGGCATTTGGACAGGAAATTTAATATAAAGAACTATTAACTATTAGAATGTGTTTAACTATTTAATATTAACCCTTTGTCCATATGCTGCCAATATTTGTTCTCTCAGAAGTTTTCTCTTTTATCTTTAACTTAAGACACCTACTGTAACAAAGTTTTAAATTTTTATGTGATAAAATTTATAAATCCTCTCTATTTTGGCATCTGTATTTCATTATTCTTAACTCCAAAGGCTTTCTCTGCTTCCATACTGTAACATTCACTTACATTTTCTTCTATTTTCTATGAAACAATCCAGACTTAGTGAGGTAAGCACTCAGTTTTATATTTTTCTAAATGGCAAGCTCACTAGTCGCAAGATAAATAACTGATTTGAAAGTTTTAATATTAAAATCCATGTATTCTCAGGGGGTTTATTTCTGGATACTAATTGGTTTCATCCATCTGTCTATTCCTGCACCAGAACCACAAAATTATTGTAAGTATACAATATGTTATAATATATGGTAGAACAAGTACTCTTGTTTTATTCCTTTATTTCCTCGAAATTTTCCTAACATGTTTGCTTAGGGCTCCTTTCCACCCCCAGATAAATTTAGACTCATCTTATGTTAAGTTTCTCTGTTTCTTCTCAAAGCAAACAGACAAACAAGAACTTAGAGTTTTCATTTGAACTGCAACAAAATTTAGATGTAGGAAAAACGAACATATTTGCAGCCCTGAGTCTCTGTATTTAATAACCAAGTTGTTTACTTGTGTTCAATAAAATTTATGCCACTGATCTGGACTAAGCTCCTGCACTAGGCCCCAACAGATCAAACCAAAATGGAGTCACTTGTGTTAAAGTTCCACACCACCAAACTGAAACTACGTTGTTTAGCTGATGTTCTGAGAAATCAGAAGAGACTCAGAATATCCAAATCCACAAATCAAGCCAGTTTCGGCCAGCATGAGAAAGTCCCCTCTGCTTTGACCTTTATCAAGAGAAGTAACCAGAAGTAACTCGATGTTAACCAATCTGCTTTTTGTAGTATTGCTGTTTCATTGCTCCTGTTCAAGCTACCTTACAAAACTGACTGTTCTGCCATGCCCAGGGTCACATGTATCTATTCTTTAGATGAGATGCTACCTAATTCATGAACTGCTGATAAAAGCCAATTACATCATTTAACTAAATGTGTTGAAATTTTGTCTTTTGACTCTTGGATATTCTTCAATAATGATTTCTGGTAAAGCAGTTGTGATGACTAGGAGTCAAGAGACCTAGAGCTGAGTTCTGGTTCTACTACTGGACCTTTTGCTAAACATGGGTTTCAAGTCCACAGGTTTCAGGTTGCTCGTGTACTAAATAAGAAATTCAACTAGACGATTCCTAAGTACAATAAGATCTTTAACCAATGATTTTATGATTCTAGTTTGTATCCCTTATGTATGATAATGAACAGCTAACATTTACAAGTTCTTTCCGCTTAGTACCATTTAGTTCCTGAAATAATCCTATTTATATTATTTAATTATTATTCTTTCCATCTTCCAGACAAGTACACAAATACTCACAGCGGCTACGTAACTCTGTAACATATAGTTTAGTCAGTAACAGATCTAGATTTTGAACCTAGGCAGTCTGACTACAAAACCTATATTCTTTTCAAAAATTTTTTATTTTATAGA